AAGTGGTTTTGATCGCTCTTATAAAGTTCATACTTCTTTCTTAAAGACAAGGGTTTGAACCAATTTTATGATAAAATATTCAAAAAAAAAAAAAACCATATTTATTTATTAGCAAATCCACTATTGGTCTATGTTCACCCTAAATTCAACAGTAGTTTAATGCCCGTCTGCGTCAATCGTTGTCGTATACCAATCCAATTATTTTCTTTGGCTTATAATCCCAGGACATACAACTAAACTTCAAGGGAGCTTAGAAGAATGGCTATGGAGACCCAGAAGTGCTTTCTGCTTCTAGTGCTGTTTCTTTACGTATATATTTCTGCGACACACAATTCAGTCGGCGCAGAAGCGAGGCCTCTCCCCGTTGTTCCTCAACAAAGTAAGGATCTCTCTCTCTCTCTCTCTCTCTCTCTCTCTCTCTTCTCGAACTTTTAGATGTTAAATTAGTGATTTGAACTAGCTTAATTTAGGAGGTTTTGGGTATAATTTGCAGAGCCAACCAAGTTTTTGGCGACGCTTGGAGTTGTCTGTAAGTGTTGTGATGGAAGTGGGCGTGAGTGCTCTGTTACATGGACAGATCCCTGCTCCAACCTCCAGTGTGAGCCTTGGAAACTGCATCAGAACCTTCATGCACAATCTTAACTTTGGCGTGTAAATATCTTCAGTAGTAGAGCCTAAAGTAGTTCATGTTTATTTAGTCCAATTATGAATGTCATCAGATTTGAGTTTAATTCCTGGTTCTGATTTTGCCTGGATCTCGATGGGGTAAAAAACATGTTAATGTGCCCAGGACAGGGATACCCAAGACTTTATCGGAGACTTGATGCAGTTGAAAAATAATATGCACAATATCAAGTATGTTACCGTGATTATAATTGATTTTTTTTACTCTGCAAGTCTCATGATGTAACTTGTTTAATATAAGTCAAGTACGGTAAGATTGTATTGTGTGTATAACCTCTACATGTGGATTACTAGGGCAATTAAAATGTGGATTAGAAATTAAGTGTCTGTTTCATTTTTCTTGCTTTTCTAATAAAAGTTCCGATATATGTTTTACTGTATTGTTTGCTGTTTTGGAAAATTTTCCATGAAGTTAGACTCAGTCAAAGAAAGGGTGTTGTATTAGTGGACAATAAAGATGAGTGACTCTTTGGGCATCTTTGAAAAATTATACCAGTTCCCATTATTGATTTAATTATTCATGATTGAGAAAGACGTCCATTTCGTGAGTCTTCATTCTTCATCGAGAAACTCTGGATTCTTCCAAAAAGAAAAAAGAAAAAAGGGGGAATTCTGGAAGTTGAGACAAACCCAAAATTCAGCCTGCAATGACTTTTGGGCCTCTGGTCTCTCTCACTCTTTTGGGCCTATTTGGTTACTTCAGAGATACAACTGTTCCAAGTGTTACAAAAAGAGGCCATTTCAGTCAAAGAACTTCCTTTCAATCTTTCCAACCCAAGATAACAACCCGGCCCAAAAGGAAAACACAAGGGACTGCCCCTCAAAACTAGTTTAAACTCTTTTAGAATGAGTGTCCATACTTTTAAGTTGATCTTGTAGATATTTGTAAAGCACTCCGTCAATAAAATATTGACCGAATTTTTACCCATGAATGAAAGGTGTCGTTTATTACAATTGTTTGTAATTGTAATTAAATGCATGAAAAGATTCAAATATTATATTTGATCAAACTTTCTCCCCATTCCTTACCATTTGAAATTTTGAACTAACTCTAACAAGTTTTTGATCCTTTTTTTAGTGACAAAGAGGGTGAAAATTTAAGATTAATAATGATATAACATAAACTATATAATTAAATAAATTAATACATATAATATAATAATTCAGCACCAAGTGGTTCATTAGCCATCCTTGTGAGGAATAGTGCCTGAACATCCAAATTCTGAATTCTAACCCAAGCAACAACTCCCTTCTCTTAATTTTCCTAGTGTCAAAAAAAATATAATATTATAAATATTAAAAAATAAAAATAATTAATTATTAAGTAATATCAATTTTATATTTTAATATTTTGAATAATATAATTTATATCATATCATTCATTTAAAATTTTTTATCACGTTTGTCATTATTTTTTTAGATATTTCCTTTTAGTGTTACAACCCTATTCACCTAACTGGATAAAAAGGATATTTCGTGAATCCAGACAAGCTGCCCTTCATTAAAGTATAGCCAATGTCATTGAGACAATCGGACTCATATAAACTCTCTTTTAATAATTTAATTTCGACGTATTATATACAATTCAAACTTAAATAATAAAATCTTAATAAATATAGAAAGAAACAAACAACAAAAAATTTTCTAATTTCAAAATTTTCGTAACTAAATAAAAGTTTCAACATAAAATAAAGCAATCAAATATAATTTATTTTCTTTAAGGAAAAATAAAGGAAACAAAGAAAATCCAAGAATTGGAGTGTAGAGAAGCACATGGGATGTTCAATGTTGCAACTTTTAAGTCACCATCGAGACGTCGCCAAATAAGGACATCGTTGTCATTTTATTAACGTTTATCCCTTTTCTTCGTTTCTGACTCATTGGCTTTGCCGTTTCGCGATTGTGCTCCTTTCCTGAGCAATTTGACCAGGCCCTCTAGCCTCTAGGTGTTACACTCTCCTCCACACGATCCAATCCCAAACCTCTTTCTCTATGGCCCTCGATGTACCAAATTAAATGATTGAGGAATCTATTTTATAAATTGTAAAATAAAAATTATTAAAAAATATTTATATTTAAGATTTTATTTTTATTTAATAATTAATATAATATAATATAACTAACAAATTAAATAATTCCGTAACAATTTTCTTCATTTGAAAATAAAAGATTTTAAATTCAAATCACATAACATGTGATGAGGTGAGATAAAAAATGAGAAAAAGAGAGTTATCTTTTATTGTGCAACTAATCTAATATATATATATGATGTAATATAATCTAATATATATATATGATGTAATATAATCTAAATCTCATTATATTTTGTCTATTATTAAGTTAGACTTGTGAAGTGTTTATAACACAATATTATTTATA